TTATTTGAAGGACATTTTCAAATGACAGCGGAGGACGCAGAGATCAAAAGTACGTGCAGTCGAAAGTAATCGCGGTAATTTAGAAGGAATTCTGAAATATACTTCTGGGGTACAGAATCAACCTACGTTCCACGAATATCATCATACACGAGGTGGTGTTTCACATCAATGGAAAGGCCCAGGCTATTTCTTGGATTGCCCTCAGTCCAGATATATACACCTCGATGAGTTCAAGAACGACATAAAAGATGAAATAAAGCTTTTTGGAAATAAACATTGGTGCCGGTATTACCCTGAAGAAAAAACAACTACTGAAAAACACGTGTACAGTCCAAGTAAATTGGTAAGTTCCATAAGGAACCTTATAACGTAGCATATGCTACGTTACAGCAACCGATGCATACATTCATGCGTAGATACAATAACATTTAAGTGGATCTCTAGTGTCAAACAGAAATTATAGGACTTTATGTGGTGGCGGTTCTCTATCGTCTTGCAAGTTAATTTATTACTTTTACCTTCGGAATATATATATATATATACACATATAATTACATATATGTAACCATTCTCGTTGACATAACTGCCACGACTAGCCTAGTGGGCCTCATGTGATTCATCACTCTAAGTAGGGGGCTTAAGTAGCCACATCTTATCACCGAACAGCAGGTCTTCGCGGTCCAAAGTTATTCTCTTGTTGATGATGAGAGTGAGATTCAGCACCAAAACCAATGTTCTTGAAACCCTACTCAACTAGCTTTTAAAAGCCTCTTAGCCTCACCCCTTACCAGACCCAACTCGAGCGTCGTGATCAATGTCGAAAAAGATAGGAATCTTAGTCACCTTTAACTCTGAGTCGGTGATATTAGATACAGCTGCTCAACGATATGTTAAAAAAAATCTTGTTCGCGGAGCCTCTGCGGAAGCACGTTCCCCAAACTAAATAGGATGAGCTACCAAAAATTACACTGGCTCCCAGTGATCCTTCTTCCATAATCGAACTCCCCAGCGGCGACCTTAGCTTAAAAAAATGTACGAAAAACTTCTCACCCTCTTACCAACCGCGAGACATAATCACCTCGACTCCAAAGCCTCACGTTGAACTTCTATTAAATAGGCTAGTATCAAGAAACCTCTCAGGCCGAAGCCGCAGAGTTGGCTTATCTGGCAACTCAGTTATTTCACTTTCTAAACCCAGGCCCTTGGGGCTACCCTCTCTTGGTCTGGAACACAAATCTCACCGTGCAACGAGGACTCTGAGTTTTCCCACCGAGTGGGACGAACGTACCAGAGGAGCTTCTGCAGTACGGATTTTGACAACATTCCAATCCCCTCATCTCCCAAATCGTACTCATAGACTCTCCCGGTGATGCACCCTCTGAACTTGCTTCTAAAATCTCTCATGAATAGACTCTGATGCGTGTCTCCATAAATGGTCTCAGCATGTAGAACAAGATGCTGAAAATCAAAATCTGGGCACCCCGCACCAGCGAATAAAGCACTAAACCGAAATCCTAAGGCCCTACGTGACAGGTCTCTAGAAGCTCCCACATGGGTGCTTTGGTTACGCTCTCGCGTTGGATCTATGCCCCACTGTATTATGGGTCACATTTCTGAGTCAAAGGCTCCGGTCAGGGTTCCCAAAGGAAACCCGTTCGTCCGTGTGGGCTACCGCGAAGTATGTCGTGCCTAAGGTTTACTTAGGTGCCCATTTGGAAAACCCTCTTTCTTATCTGTCCGGTTCTTCCTAACCCCCAAATCTTACGATATCTCTCCTGTTTGTGCCACGCTTGGGATTTTACTCGGTGTTCAGTTAGAAAGGTCAATTAACCAGAATCTAATAGGTTTTCTAAACCAAAATCTCATTTTTCCGGTGCAGTCCTCACATAGGTGAATAAATTTGCAGTTTTGGCGGTATTTTCCAAGAAGTGATCAGTTTACAGCTCAGGTTTACTTTTGTGTACAGTGAGTTTTTTTCTGAATTCGATTCTGTTAGACCTAATTTTCAGTTGAAGTTCGTAACCCATTACCCGATCTTACATCCTAGAAATGGCCTCAACATCCGGTGTTCTATTCGGCTCATCATGACAAATGGCTCAACGAGCATGCGGACACGCTGATTCCACGTGATGCACGTTTGTTCTACAACGAGGAGGATTGGAATAAATTCAAATACATGACAGCTACGGCTAAGCAGCCTGGGTTGGCTATCACAGATCTGTTTAACGCAAATTGTCGCGCATTCTCCGAGCCAGCACGTCTATCCCGGGGAGGAAAAAAGCCGTATACGGACATGAAATTTTATTTCTAATATATCTTCTCTACTTTTCCCCCAGTATTTGTTGACTGCTTTCCTATGCATCACAACTCTTCAACTGGACTAAGGTATCATTTCTTTTCACAAAATATCTCCATTAAGATGAGCGATCCGTAAGGGACAAAGAAACGTCCAGGTTGTATTATTTGACTCTACCACGCAACGTATTTTTTCATTTGAGGAATTGTTTCTACCCAATATATATTTTGCCGAAATCAGGTGAATTTTATTGTTATTGTATGGAATTCACGATGTGTTTCGCTTATTTCCTAGATAGAACTAAATGGAACCTTTTTTACTCATTTTCGCGTTTCTGTTAAATTTGAACACCGAACAGACCGCAGTGCAAGAAGAAACACCGATCTCTGAAAATAGTAAAATTGGCTCTCCCTATTGGCAGCAATCAAAACCAGCGCACGATAGTACATGATTAACGGTTTTACAAACAAACAGCGATGCGTTTAGGTGGTTACCCACGATTTTTGTACGTGAATGTCCGTTCGTCGATTGCCTTTTATACCCATTGGTTGATATTTTTCCTAAAAGATTTTTTCACCGCTTGCTTAATCGTGTCATCTTCGGTCGGCTCTTTATCTATCCAGAAATTAAACTCACTGAATATTCCCACGGCACCATTTGAGAAAACACGAGACATGGACAAACAAATGAGTAGGTAATCATAGCAAAGATATAAATAGACAATTTACCTTTGAGTTTCATGGAAATAATCGGTTGATTGGTGAACTGAAGGCGTAAACGTGTAGCCGGAAATGTGCGTATGATTGCTCTTTCCAAACGCCGGGTGATTAATTCACTTTTCTAATCTCCTTTGAAAGGAAGTTGCATGTATAAGTCTTTCTTATTACTGTTCTCATTGGAGGTCCCTTGGGTGTCTCTGATAGGTTTTTCTGAATTAACCATTCATGTTCGGCAAGCTACATAGGTAGAACCATCAGGCAGTTTCTCATAGGATCAAGGAACAAAAACCAGCCTGGTTGACTACTGACTAAAGAAAAACCATCTCTAGTGCCATTGTGGAACATTTGACGAATACGGGACATACTGTGAGTAAAGATGCCTACGAGGTGATCTACCGGGTGCCTCCTGTTCGTCAAAAAAAGCTGAGGCAGTAGCCATCCGTCTGTTTAACTCATCGTTTTGTTCCCACGCGTTTTATTAAAGCACTTCAACGTCCATGGTCACGGTGTGAATTCTGTCGCATGACTGGAGCTGACTCTTTCCATGACCCTTTGATGCTTTCAATTGACACTTGACCCTTCACATACAGCCGGATGTCGCGACGGCACCACAGATGTCCCAAGTTGGAAAATACCAATCTAGTCTAAAGTGAGCATGTCAATACTTCGTCCGTGATGCGTTCACCAGGTGAGATATACCTGCCAAAATAGCAAAACTTGTCCACCTCCCTTACTACCTCCTCAGTTAGAGTAAGATTGGGAGCAGGCTCAACATTTTGCACTTTGAAGGTGCAAAACACATACTAAACTTTGATAGACTAGCACTCAAACTATCCAGAAAAGCTTGTAACTTACCTGGATCTTCACTTGGTAGCACAATATCGTCTGCATATTCCAGATCAGACAGTCTACCACCTGGGAGCGAATCGATGCCGCTACCCTCACAGGAGAATAGGGCTGTTTTCACAATGAAATATATCACAAAGTTAAACAGAATAGGAGAGAACAACCCTGGCGAACACGGCTTTCCGTGATTAACTGGAGAGAAAACGTGCGTAAGCTCGGACTCGACTTCATCTGTTGCTATAAAGAGATCTCAAAATTGAAATAAACTGCTCGGACACACCCTTCAGAGCGAGGCAGCGCCAGAGTTTGGAGCGGTCGACTGACAAAAAGTGTTTTAATTCTGGTGTGGTTTGAACAAACTTACCATCCTATCACATTTCTAACACAAGACTATAGTTTTCCGTTGTCTACCGAACAAAGTAACCCAAACCTATATTTTTTAATAATGAATTAAGTCTAAGTTAGAGCTTCATGAATCACACTTTAAGGTGATCTTGTTGTTAGGCTTAGCTGTCAAGCGTCTGAAATCTGTTAGGTTTGACAGCTTTTCCTGACGTCTTACGATGAACAGTTGCCCCAGTTAGAAGAATGTGATATAATTTGTCCGTTTTGGATTAATCAGGTCGCAACTATAGGGCTACATATATAACACATGCTCCAACATTTACCATTGGCAAAATATGGGCACCACTTGACGAAGAGTAGTTTTCAGTTATCTATAAGAATTTCAATGCACGACGGCAAATATGATTCCCCGTACTAAGCACTTTCTGCGTATTCTCATTCATTGAATACTCTGGGATAATACTGGCAAGATCAAACGCTTAACCCATCACGTCTGTAAACATCGGACCGGCCTGGTAAAACACGATAGCAATTATGATAATTAAAAGTGCGGTGAACTTCTTTGAATCAACCCCCTCAGTGGGTGTAATAAACGCATTTTGGCCCATTTACAAAGTTTTGTCTAAGATGTCGAGGATAGCTCAGTGTCCAAAGCAGAAGAGCAAATTACAGCTCTTTTGACACTGATAGTTCCCACCAGTAGTGCAAATCTACCAACGTAAATTAGAATAGAACCCGGAACCTCACAGTTAGAACGCCAGCCCAGTATGCCATTTTAGACTTTTTCTAACGCAATATGGCACAAAGCATCTTTGTGTACGCCTGTTGTGAGTATATAACCTCTCTCAGTTCATCGTTAGCATTGAGGGTTGGATTTTGCTTTATGCATTTTTACGTTTACGAGTAACTGTACACGCACTTCTTCACCATGTTATTTTTCTTAACTTGTTCCGTAGAACCTTTAAAACAAATCGATCACTTTTATTATAAATCAAACTCGATTGGAGTGACTTCACGCAACATTATTTACAATAATCATCCCAAAACCTCCATTCTTGATATGCAATCGCTACTTTCGTGCGTAAAACAATTGATATTTCGCTATATACATCGTTATTGTGTCAGACAAAGTAAAGTAATCCACTATAAGATATACAGCCAATGTTGTCACCTGCGGAAGAACAGTAGGCGAAAAAAGTTTTTCACTTTGCATTTTCATTTGAATCCGGTGTTAGCCACTTTGTTACTTCGCTTCAAGCCACAAGATTGATCCATTTGTTTTTTCGGTCTTACAAACAAACTTTTGATAAAACAATCAATGATCTATATTCATTACCATTATGTTTCGCTGTTGTTCGATCACCTCGAATCTATACGAGGCACTTGAATATAAACGGTCGATTCATTTTGTTTTACTCGGGTAGCTTGGAATAGATAGAATTCTGCGGGAAAGTGAAACGAATGCTCTACCCGTGTTGTCACCTCATATTCGCATTCGTCGTCCGATTCACCAGTCCCGTCTGGATTTGCGGACTCCTTCGCATGATTTATTAACATCGGAGCGAGAGATTTGAGTTGATCCACTACAATCACTCTTTCGTATGACAAACGTATCAGTTCTTCTTTCGGGTCACAATTAGCCAACAAACTAGTCAGTACTGCACTCTCGTCCAGCTCAATCCGTATTACACATTCTCGTTGGGCAATATTCACAAGCACTTTGGTCCCAATCTCCGGAAGTGGACTGGGCACACTGTAAGCTCCAGTTGCAGTTGGGATGAGGACCATGGATCCTTTACAACTCAGCTCTCGGCTGGTCCCTCGGGATGGTTGCTTAGCGCGAATGGTGGTAGCCGGTGCGGGAGTATGCGGTACAGCGGATGAAGGAGTTTTGGGAAGTGATGTCATACGCGGACTAACCGGTGGTAGATTATTCGATTGGCTCTTTTCGGTTTGTTTTGTTGGGCTTCGAGGCGAGGACAAACTATACGCCGCAACGTCACGAGTGGGAAGAGTGTTCATGCTTATTGTTTGTTTGGGATTCCGCTTTTGTTCACAGGTCTCGTAAATCTATGGACGCATAAATAACAAAAATATTAGTAGAATAAAAGATATGTATGAACGACGAGATTTAGGAGAATTGAGGACAATAAAAATTTCAATGAACGCACAATATAAATTCAGTTCAAGCTTGACAAAGCCGGTCGAGAAAATGCCTTTACAAGGGAACATCGTTAAAGTTGCTTTGATCATATGATAAACTTTGTTGTATAGACAACAAGAAGGTACAATGAAAAACTTGGGATAATTGCAATGCTGTTCTCATGTTTTGGGATCTCATCTGCAATGCGTTTTCATCATCCCACTCAAGAATTGATCCTGAGATATTACAGATAAAACACAAGCATACTTATCAACCATCTGATCGATTCAACTCCCCCACTTCTCCTCTGTGGCAAGCAGTCAGGTTGGCAATGTCACCAAACAAGGTTCGTTACTCATAACAAGCCAGAACGTATGGATTGTGGGGCATTGTATATAGGCCATGTGAAACAGTTTCATCATCATCCCGTTGGTCAATGAGTAGTGTGCATTCTATATGCACTATCTTGAACTCATGGAACCGCGGATGATGCCGATGTACACTTACGTTTTTTTATAGCTAGTCACGAGTAGTTATAGATCATTTTGGAAAGCCCCAAGGACGGTCAAGTACACAGTGAATTTGTTCATCTTCGTACCGTGTTTCTTCTGTCATTGTTCTAGATGGATGGATGTACCGCATCAACAACTTTTGGGTAAAAGGCTTGAACCAATGATATCAAACCGTCTTTTTGCAGTAATTAAACACGTGAAGTTCGAATACTTGAACTTCGGACATAGCATTATCAGATTTTTACAACGCACAGTGAACTGTCCAGCGTGGTAGAATTTGGTTTCCCTATGAGGACCCAGTTTTCACAAGCATCTAATATGCTTTGAGAATTCTTAATTTTACAAATTTCAAAGCCCCAGTTCAAGAATTGCAAAGTATATTGAACAGTCATGAGAACACAAATTTAGCAAACAAGCTCGTTTATGGTGCTACATAACCTGGCTAAATTCACCATCATTTATAATAGATTAAACTGGTGGTGAGCAGAGACACATTTGCGAAGGAAATNGTAGAATCTGGAAGACGGAGGGTGGTTGTGAATGGGTGAGTAAACGAATGAGTGAGAGTTCATGAACGGAGGTTACGTCACCATATTGTTAGTGGATGGCCAGCGCTCTTTCAAACTGTTTCTGGGCGCACAAGTAGAGGGGGAAGTTGTGGAGACGGATGGCAATCCGTTCATGAACTCTCACTCATTCGTTTACTCACCCATTCACAACCACCCTCCGTCTTCCAGATTCTACGCTTACACAGACAGACACACTCGCAAACATCAATAATCAGAATTCCATTACTTCTTTTTGAACTCTGATTTCCCTCGCAAATGTGTCTCTTCTCACCATCAGTTTAATCTATTATAAATGATGGTGAATTTAGCCAGGTTATGTAGCACCGTAAACGAGCTTGTTTGCTAAATTTGTGTTCTCAAGACTGTTTAATTGGAATTACTTATATTTACTCACTGATCAGATAGGGATTTGCATTTGAGGAATAAATGAAAAATGCTTTTACAGATTGTTCAGTACCATTGGTTTTTATGGGATTTCCTGAAACTTCGAATAGAAGTAACTAAGATATCATTCGAACACCAATTTCCTCCAATGAGATCTTCGAAATTTTCAAGTCTCATGCGTCAATAAATAATTGTAGAGGTTAAAATGTGGATGATCAATGGAACCCATCCATGTGTTAATTAGTTTCAATCTAACTCGATTGAATTAGAATTGTGCACAGTGTAGATTCTCCAATAAGCTTTCACCACTTCCGATCCCTTCAACCTAGTCTCAACTTATGTTAAATCTAAGAAATGGATTAATTGTATTTTTAACCCGCCATGTACTTCTTTCCATGTGAATGATAAGCTTTTGTTCGACCTGAATTCTACCAATCAACTGGAAGTACTGATAGACGGGAACCTTAGATGGAAAACTGAGATGCTTACATTTCCAGATACGCGTAATCAGACCAGTCCGAGCCCAACAGACAATTATTTTCGAAATTGTCAGTCGAAGCCTGACTCTCCCTTTGATTTACTGTTCCCTGTGTCATGTCCTTCACTTTAGTTGACGAATGAGCAATACATCATGTGGTATTGGCATGTGGTAAGCTACTGAGATCTAGCCTGGATAGCCCAAATGATAAGCTCATTGGATTGATAGCCCCTCATGTCCAGGTTTGACTCTAACTGGAATCGGTGGATTTGCACTGGTGATGACTCGGAACAGGTATGATAGTTCATAGAAACGGGTGGAATTGTTTGGAGGTATTATTAGCGAAATATTGTAAGCCCAGCTAAAAGCTCTGCTTGTCTCATTTCAATGTAAACTATGTCAGCATGACAAACTCACTGACACATATGCGCTAATGGCCTACTGAACGCCGAAAATATGTAAAATGGCGAGAAAAACAGCGCGAGTGTATGGAGTCCATGAAATGAATTTGCGAACCGTTCAACAAGACCGATTAATAATTAGGAATTGTTGGAAACTAGGTGATCACAAAAGAGCAAAGAAACATGACCAGCATGTAAAACAATGAATCTGTTCGCGAAAAAGTCGAGGACCAGTAAAAGAAAAAGAATTATCATCATTGATGGATAAACGAAAAAATGAAAGTGTACATTTGCCATCCCTAACGGTTTCAAATGCATAAATTTACTATCAATAGGTTTTGGTGTCCGCTCAACCGTAGTAGAGATCCACTGAGAAGTCATGCATCAGGGAGTCGATCATCTGACAAGATTCGGTACTTTCGGTGACGGTGACAAATGAGCGCTGACGTTTAGAAAGCGAATCGAAACCACTCCGGATCACCCCAATGGTCCAATTCCGTGGGATTCATCATTGTTCGTGGTTAGAAGGCCAAGAGGCTGTTACCTCGAGTGAATATGCAATGTTGGTGGTTCCGAACAGCGATAAAAATAGTTGCGCTGTTCTGCCCAAGGAATTTCAGTTATATGTTGGTACTGACGATTACTTTTTCATAGGCAAACCAAATCTCCCTAACTGCTTCACGTAAATAATACACCTTTATTTGGAACCGCATTAAGTTCACTGAGTTCAAATAGTTATTGGTTTAGTGTGCGCAAGGCGATGTTCAAAGTTCATTGGTCAAAGTTTTATTATGGGAAATACTTAAAAGCGGTTGCTCTTCTAGTCCCATAGGATTTGGCACAGATGAGTCGGTTCACAGTAAATGCAAAGTAGATGAATGTCACAGTGTCACAATTTGTCCTTGTTTCGTGCACTTCTACGGATGCTGAAATTTAAGACTTTTCAAAGCTTCATCCAGATTGTGCTTGAATAAATCAATTGTTGGTGCAGAGACGTGTGGTGGTAGAGAATTCCAAGTAATGCACACTAAGAGGGCGAATGAATGACGCCAGCATTTTTGGAGCACTAATTTGAATGAGTGCCCCGCTGGTGAGTGTTGGGCGACAAGGAAAATAGTGGACGACATGGGTGGTTTGGGTTCTGCATTATTTGGTATACAAAGATCAAGTATCTTCGAATGCGGCGATACTGTGTGGTGTACAGTTGTAGCGCTTCCAGTCTGTCCGCATAACTCTTGGAATGCAGTCCCTTGACCATTTTGGTGGCCATTCTTTGTGGACGTTCCAGAATCTTCTGATCGCGTTGCAGCCATGGATTCCATGCTTGAATGGCGTACTCTATGTGGAGTAGGCTGATAAGAATCGTGGGAACAGCGTAGGTTCAAATTTGCCAAATACTCGCTATAGCAAACCAACATGTCTTAAAACGTAGACGACGACCGGGAACAGTTTAAAGAACAGCTTAGGTCGTCTTGAACAATGACGCCGAAATCCTTCTCATTCTAGACGTACGGAAGTCGACGATCTCCCAGGAAATACGGAAACCGAGTTTTGTGCCGAAGGGATAGGACCGTACATTTCGATGCATTGAATTCTAAGTCGTTTTCGATCAACCATTGATAGGCAGCATTAAGTGTTCTTTGGAGTTCTAGCGATTCCTCTGGTTTTGTCACCGTTTTGCATATTTTTTTTCATGTAACCAATACTAAATAACTTGAGCTGTTAGATAATTTGTGTTGATAATTTAGAACGTATTAAGAGTAACTAGCCAACTTTTAGTAAAACTGTTGTCTACTGGAGAGATTCCATAAAAACATCAACCGCTGATTGCAAACTTTTGAGCCGGGATTATCCTTTTGTCCTTTTTTCGCCGAGAAAAAATATTTAAATACTGCATTTGGGAGCGTGTCGTTTCAGGATTTTGAGCTCACTGTGAACTGAGAACACATGTTAGACAAACAGCCTGTCTACTATCGTCTAACGATATACGTTTTTCACTTTCGACCTCATAAGGGATCTTCTGATCACACCCTACTTCGCTCTCAGATGTAACAACCTTTACAAAAAGAAAACTCTCGTAGAGCAATATATTACCCATTACAGTTTTGCATCAATGCAGCTTGCAAGAAGCTTAATTTGTTGTATTGACGATCGAGTAAAAATTCGTTGTCCTGTCAACACACTAAATGATGAACTTGCCACAGTTAAATCAACGTTCTCGAAAAATGGATATCTAGAACATCTTTTCCATTATTCCACGGTCGTCGACAATCCAATTAGGGGAAAAGAAAACAGTCTGTATCACATTGCGTTTCTAAGTCGGTACGCTTGCAAAAGCACTGAGCAAACGACTTAGTACACAAGTGTTTGTCAGAAAAATTTAGCGCTTTTTACTCTTCCAAATCCAGTCTCTCATTACAG